TCAAGTATGTGTCTTTCCAAGACTTCACACATGTTCCACAGAATATATATATATCACGAAGGACCGCGTAGAATTGCACCGTAGTGCCATATAATAATGTCCATAAGGACCACATAGAATTCCTTAAGAATCATATACATATACTAGGGATCAAGTATGTGTCTTTCAAGACTTCACACATGTTCCAAAGAATATACATATGTCCCGAAGGACCGCGTAGACCCTCTACCCTTGGCATGCCAACTATACCTATAGTTCTCATCTACATAACATGGGCTTTTACATTTCACGTAGTCCTTATCGCGTAGACATGTAAATTCTTACCTCTTCACATAGTTCATAACTTTTCTTGCATATTCATGTCATATAATGCATTTTATATGAATTCATGTCATGTCTCATAATACAGAATATGCTCATGTACCAAGATATAAAATCTAGACTTATCACAAGTCTAGAATGAAGTATATTTCTATAATTATGCTATGCATATGCACCCACCTATATTTCTTTGCCGTTTCCTCGATCGATCCTACTTGTAGATTGTTCCCGAACTCGTGTAGGCTCGGTATCTACATAAACATAATTTCCAAGATGATTATCAGATGTCTATGTCTTGAAATTAAGCTTTAATAACTTACTAATTTAAGGAATTAATAGCTTAGTCTTTCTTTCTTTTCTTTCTTTTTTTTTCTCATGGGGGAATCGGTTCCCCCCCTGGGGGTATCGATTCCCCTCTAACATTCTGGAAATCCATATTCGTTGAGGGGGTATCGGTTCCCCTTGAATGGGTACCGATTCCCCTAGCCCAAAAATCCTATTTTGAGCTCGAAAATCATCTCCTTTCAGCTCAAATATACATATTTCACTCCCTTTAATACTCTTAGCTTTCATACACTTACTTAAACTAATTATTATCCATTCAATACCTCTAAACTAAAAAAACTAATCATCCATATAGAATTGAAGAATCTTACTCAAATTCCAACTTGTTCTAATTTCAATTCTATTACCTCATACTTCTTAATTAACTTATTGACAAGTCAAAAATCTTATTCAAACTTCAAAAACTCATCCATATCAAAATTTCATCTAAAAACTCTTTTTCCAAATTTATACCTAAAACACTTATCTTGTTGTCTTAATGTCATATAAGCTTTCTTTTAGCTTATATAACATCCAAACTTCCATTTCCAATCTAAAAATCAAAGAAACTACCAAGGTTCAGATTCTTACCTTAAACTTGGTCTTCACGTTTGGAAGAAGAGAAGAGTGAAGAGAAGATAAGAAAGAAGGAAGAAGAGATGAGAGGATTCTGGAATACTAATGCCCCACGTGGGTTATAATATAACCCCATAACATTTTTTAATTATAATTTTTCCTTACAAATGACCATTTGGTCCTTACATTCATTTCATATTTACTAACCATTCTTTTTAAACTATATAATTATTATACTTTAATCACCAATTGTTGAAACTTTGCAAATTAATCACTAACCCGGCATGGAGGATGTTACAAATCTCCCTCCCTTAAGAAAATTCGTCCTCGAATTTTCAATAAGAAAAGAGATGGGGATACTGATTCCTCATATCCTCCTCACACTCCCATGTTGCTTCCTCTACTTTGTGATTCTTCCATAAAACTTTAACCAATGGAATAGTCTTATTCCTCAATTGCTTAACCTCATGAGCTAAAATTTGAATCGGTTCTTCCTCATAAGTCAAGTCAGGTCGAACCTCAATCTCTTCTGGTGTCACGATATGAGAGGGATCCGATCGATATCTTCAAAGCATTGAAACGTGAAAGACATCATGTATCTTTTCCATCTCAGGTGGTAAAGCTAGCTGATATGCCACAGGTCCTAGTCTCTTTACAATCTCATATGGTCCAATAAACCGAGAACTCAATTTTCCTTTTCGACCAAATCTCAACACCTTCTTCCATGGAGACACTTTTAAAAACACTTTATCTCCAACTTGAAATTCAATTTCTTTCCTTTTTAGATCTGCATATGATTTTTGTCTGTCTGCTGCAGCTTTGAGATTACTCTGAATTATCAGGACCTTTTCTTCTACTTCCTGAATCAACTCAGGACCAAGCACTTCTTTATCTTTGAGCTCGTACCAGTTCAAAGGCGTACGACATTTCCTTCCATAAAGAGCTTCATAGGGAGCCATTTTAATACTCGACTGATAACTATTGTTGTAAGCGAACTCTTTCAGCGGTAAATACTTTTCCCATGATCCTTTAAATTCCATTACGTATGCTCTCAACATATCTTCCAATATCTGAATAGTTCTCTCTGATTGCCCATCAGTCTGAGGATGAAAATTCGTACTAAAGTTTAAACGAGTTCCCAACGCTTCATGCAAAGATTTCCAAAATCTAGAAGTGAATCGAGGGTCTCGATCAGAGACTATAGAAACAGGTACTCCATGCAATCTAATAACCTCTCTAATATACAGCTCTGCATACTTTTCCATAGAGAAATCCGTTCTAACCGGAAGGAAATGCGCTGACTTAGTTAATCGATCAACAATTACCCAGATTGATTCTCTTTTGTTCGGAGTCAAGGGTAACCCCGAAACAAAATCCATCGTAACATTTTCCCATTTCCATTGAGGAATGAAAAGCGGTTGCAATAATCCTGATGGAACTTGATGCTCGGCTTTGACTTGTTGACATATCAAACACTTAGACACAAATTTGGTGATGCTTCGCTTCATCCCTGACCACCAAAATCGATCCTTCAAATCCATATACATCTTGGTTCCACCCGGGTGCATCGTTAACGGACTGCAATGAGCCTTTGATAATATTTCTTTCTTCAAGTCGTCATTGTCGGGTATTACAATTGTTCCTTTACAATATAGATTTCCATCTGACTTAATCTCAAAGTCTTTAATCTCTTTGTTCTTTACTTGTTCCGTTCTTTTCAAACACATTTCATCTTTACTTTGCAATTCTCCTATTCGTTCCAACCATGCTGGTTTAAGGGTTAATTCTGCACAAAGACCACCGTCTCCCGTTAAAGATAATCTTGCATCCATAGCTCGTAAAGCTGCAAACGTCTTTCTACTCAGAGCATCTGCTACCACATTAGCCTTTCCGGGATGATAGTCAATTATCACATCATAATCCTTTAAGAACTCTACCCATCTACGCTGCCTCAAATTCAATTCTTTTTGAGTCATCAGGTACTTCAGGCTCTTATGATCCGTATATAAGTAACAACGCTCCCCATAAAGATAATGACGCCAAATCCTGAGAGCGAATACTACAGCAGCCATTTCTAAATCATGAGTGGGGTAATTCCTTTCATGTGGTTTCAACTGTCTCGATGCGTACGCTACCACCTTTCCTTCTTGCATTAATACACACCCCAACCCGTTATGGGATGCGTCACTGTATACTACAAAATTCTTGCCAGATTCCGGTTGAACCAATATCGGAGTTTCCGTCAGAATTCTCTTTAAAGTTTCAAAACTTTCTTGACATTCAGAAGTCCAAACAAATGGTACATTCTTTCTCATTAGCTTTGTTAGAGGCAGCACAATCATCGAAAAATTCTTAACAAATCTTCGATAGTAACCAGCAAGTCCAAGAAAACTCCGAACTTCAGACACATTCTTAGGAACTTCCCAATCCATTATAGCTTTAACCTTCTGAGGGTCTACTCTAATCCCAACTGCCGAGATCACATGTCCTAAGAAAATTACTTCGTCTAGCAAAAATTCACATTTAGACAATTTCGCATAGAGATTTTTATCCCTGAGAATTTGCAAAACTAGCCTCAAATGTGTTATGTGCTCTTCAATGGACTTCGAGTAAACCAATATGTCATCAATAAAGACAACAACAAACTGGTCCAGATAGGGCTGAAAAATCCTGTTCATGAGATCCATGAAAGCAGCAGGTGCATTCGTTACTCCGAATGGCATTACGATGAATTCATAATGACCATATCTCGTTCTGAAAGGTGTCTTCGGAATATCTTTCTCCTGGATCTTCAATTGATGATAACCCGAACGTAGATCGATCTTCGAAAATACCGAAGCTCCTTTCAGTTGATCAAACAAGTCATCAATGCGAGGAAGGGGATACTTGTTCTTGATGGTCACCTTATTAAGCTGTCGATAATCAATACAGAGACGCATTGATCCATCATTCTTTTTAACAAATAACACTGGAGCTCCCCAAGGCGATACACTTGGTCGGATAAATCCCTTCTCTAGCAACTCTTGTAATTGATTCTTTAACTCTTGCAATTCTTTTGGAGCCATTCTATAAGGTGTCATTGCAATTGGAGCGGTTCCTGGCATTACTTCAATTTGAAATTCTACCTCTCTATCCGGAGGTAATCCTGGCAATTCAGCAGGAAAAACATCAGGGAACTCTCGAACTATTGGAATTTCCTCTAACATTTTCTCTTGAGCTCTTGAATCAATCACATTTGCAAGAAAACCCTGACATCCTTGTAGCAATAATTTCTTGGCAGACATCACTGATATTACCCTTGCTAAAGGATTACACATTTCACTGATCACATTAACTTCTATTCCTTATGGACTCTTCAGGGTTACCTTTTTCAATCTACAATCGACATTCCCATAATAATGAAACAACCAATCCATTCCCAGAATCACTTCAAACTCGTCAAAGGGTAATTCCATCAGATTAGCAGAGAATTCAATTCCCTGAACCTTTATGGGATACCCCTTACAGACTTTGTCCACATGAGTACTATGCCCTAACGGATTAGTTACTATCATCACATTACTCGTAGCTTCTATAGGAATCCTCAACTCCTTTACTAACTTACTTGTAATATAAGAATAATTAGAACCCGGATCAATCAGCACCAATACTAATTTATCATACAACTGAAAAGTACCTGCTATAATATCAGGGTCATCACGGTCTTCACTTGTCTTTAGATTATATACCCGAGCAGTGGATCGAACTTCAGGTTGAGCAGAGAATTCAGACGGGTTCCTTCCTCTGCCTCTTCCTCGTCCTCTTTGTGAGGAATAACCAACTCTTCCAGATGGTGCAGGCTCACCAACAATCAATGGACAATCCCGAATAAAATGTCCGGCATCTCCGCATCGAAAACAAGTCCCAGCAGCCATACGACAAGCCCCATAATGGTTTTTCCCACAGTGCTGACACTGTCTCCCTTGACTCGGAGTAGATCTCCCAGTACCAGATTCCACTGACTGCGTCTGTCTAGGTCTTGCCTGACTTGCTCCCCTAGCAGATGATGCAACTGATTCTGATCTAGTTTGTGATCGAAATCCCGAGTCTCTTCCCATTTTTGTTGATACTGAGCTAGAAGAAGTAGTCGTCCTCTTTGATGTCTGAACTCTTGAGTCCCCAAATCTTTCATTCTGAGCCCTTTCAAGAGCTTTTGCACGATTGATCACCTCCTGGAACGAGGACAAGTTTAATACTATCAACATTTCTTTAAGTTTGGGGCGCAAGCCCTCCACGAACCATTCGCAAGCATCTTTTTCAGTAGGCACAAGCTCAACTGCAAATCTGCTCAGCTTATTAAACTCACATTCGTACTCATATACAGAGCGGCTCATCTGCTTCAAATTCATAAACTCCTGCTTCATTTGCCAGATAAACTGATCTCCAATATACTTGTTTTTAAATTCTTCTAAAAACAAAGACCAAGTTAACTGGTCGGTTGACATCCTCATGGTGACGTTCGTCCACCATATCCTCGCCTGACCCCTCAATAAAGACACAGCTCCATCTAATTTCTCCACTTCGGAACAGTGGAGACCATCTAACATGATTTTCAAATCATTCAACCAAAGATCCGCTGACACTGGACCTTCCTCAACTTCTCCCTTAAATTCGGAAGCTCCTAAACCTCTCAACTCTTTTGCTACATTAATTCTTTGAGTTAGTGGAGCAGAAGGTTGAAGACGCGTCAGAATAGCGTCTAACGTTCTGAAGAACGTATCTTGATCTTGCACAGGCACTCCTTGAGATGCCTGTTCTTCACCTTGCCTGGCCAGGGCAGGTGAATTACTGCTTTCAGCATGCCTATCTTCTCCCGCTTCACTTCGGGAGCTATTATGTCCGGACATCTAATAAGAATAAACACATTGTTCTATTAGCAAGACAGCATACTCATACTATACCAGATCAGAAGTTCTCACTATTTGTTGGCATGTATTCCATTTAAAGACTCTATAGACTCTGGTTTATGCCTAGAATCGGCTAAACCTGGCTCTGATACCATTAAATGTAACACCCCCAACCCGTACCCGACCCGGATATGAGTCAGAGATACTACATTGACTTTAAAACACAACTCTTAACAAATAATAGCAAAATATTTGAACTTATATTAAGAAAATACGATAATATACATATTGTAATATAAGTTTACCAAAATATTCAGAGCATACACAACTTAACCCTTTAATTACATGCCAACTGCCATTTGCATAACAAAATGACCTACTGATTAAGTTGCTTCTGATCTGATGGTTGCAGGAGTAATGGTGTCAAGCTGCTTCACCTGTCTCGTCTATTTTCTCGGATCCTACGTGTGAAACACTCACACGCTAAGTCATCGACTTAGTGAGGCAATAATAATAACAAGGCAATGTAATGAAAATGTCATGATCATATGAAATAAGATGCAAACATGTACTTAATCAATGTAGTCTACATCATCAATATCCATACCTGTAAGCGTATGACTTTAACATTCATGAATTTGTATTAATAAGTTTATTGGCCCATGATAGCATATTGAGAACCTAAGGTATCTGAGTAATGTGAGGTTGTGCACTATGCTGTCACCACAGCTCGTATAAATGCACCGAAGTGCCGCGTAGAATTGCACCGTAGTGCCATATAATGATGTCCATAAGGACCACATAGAATTCCTTAAGAATCATATACATATACTAGGGATCAAGTATGTGTCTTTCCAAGACTTCACACATGTTCCACAGAATATATATATATCCCGAAGGACCGCGTAGAATTGCACCGTAGTGCCATATAATAATGTCCATAAGGACCACATAGAATTCCTTAAGAATCATATACATATACTAGGGATCAAGTATGTGTCTTTCAAGACTTCACACATGTTCCAAAGAATATACATATGTCCCGAAGGACCGCGTAGACCCTCTACCCTTGGCATGCCAACTATACCTATAGTTCTCATCTACATAACATGGGCTTTTACATTTCACGTAGTCCTTATCGCGTAGACATGTAAATTCTTACCTCTTCACATAGCTCATAACTTTTCTTGCATATTCATGTCATATAATGCATTTTATATGAATTCATGTCATGTCTCATAATACAGAATATGCTCATGTACCAAGATATAAAATCTAGACTTATCACAAGTCTAGAATGGAGTATATTTCTATAATTATGCTATGCATATGCACTCACCTATATTTCTTTGCCTTTTCCTCGATCGATCCTACTTGTAGATTGTTCCCGAACTCGTGTAGGCTCGGTATCTACATAAACATAATTTCCAAGATGATTATCAGATGTCTATGTCTTGAAATTAAGCTTTAATAACTTACTAATTTAAGGAATTAATAGCTTAGTCTTTCTTTCTTTTCTTTCTTTTTTTTTCTCATGGGGGAATCGGTTCCCCCCCTGGGGGTATCGATTCCCCTCTAGCATTCTGGAAATCCATATTCGTTGAGGGGGTATCGGTTCCCCTTGAATGGGTACCGATTCCCCTAGCCCAAAAATCCTATTTTGAACTCGAAAATCATCTCCTTTCAGCTCAAATATACATATTTCACTCCCTTTAATACTCTTAGCTTTCATACACTTACTTAAACTAATTATTATCCATTCAATACCTCTAAACTAAAAAAAACTAATCATCCATATAGAATTGAAGAATCTTACTCAAATTCCAACTTGTTCTAATTTCAATTCTATTACCTCATACTTCTTAATTAACTTATTGACAAGTTAAAAATCTTATTCAAACTTCAAAAACTCATCCATATCAAAATTTCATCTAAAAACTCCTTTTCCAAATCTATACCTAAAACACTTATCTTGTTGTCTTAATGTCATATAAGCTTTCCTTTAGCTTATATAACATCCAAACTTCCATTTCCAATCTAAAAATCAAAGAAACTACCAAGGTTCAGATTCTTACCTTAAACTTGGTCTTCACGTTTGGAAGAAGAGAAGAGTGAAGAGAAGATAAGAAAGAAGGAAGAAGAGATGAGAGGATTCTGGAATACTAATGCCCCACGTGGGTTATAATATAACCCCATAACATTTTTTAATTATAATTTTTCCTTACAAATGACCATTTGGTCCTTACATTCATTTCATATTTACTAACCATTCTTTTTAAACTATATAATTATTCTACTTTAATCACCAAATGTTGAAACTTTGCAAATTAATCACTAACCCGACATGGAGGATGTTACAGTAATCACTCGAAAATTTCAAATTATTAAATATTTTAATTTTTTTTTATTATAATTTATTTTCATCCCTATAATTTTATTATTTTTTCCTAAAAATTTAAAAATTCGTTCTCATAACTTAAAATCTTACGTTTATATAGATGAATAACAAAATTAAATAGTTACCATATTTTTTGGCTAACATTATACACCTTAAATAAATAAAGGATAAACTATAAATTTAGTACTTAAACTATTACTTTTATTTCATTTTGATACTTAAACTTTATCCTTTAAAAAAATATACCTAACGTTTAGTTTAGGTTTTGATTTGGTATTTCATCATTAAAATATTAACAAATTTGTTGACGTGATATTTTTTAAATTTTTAAATGATGATGTGATATTATCTTATGGTGACACGTCAACATCACCATTAAATTTTTAATAACGGATACCAAAATGAAACATAAACTAAACATTAAGTATGATATTAAAAAATAATAAAATTTAGATGTCAAAATAGAACATAAAGTAACACTCTAATTGCTAAACGTGTAGTTTACCCATAAATAAAAGTCTAGATTCTAACATTTTGTCATGACCTAAATCTAGCTGTCTAAATCTGACAAAATTCAAAAGAAGAAAAAAAGAGAACGGGTAGAACACGTTGATGATAAAACCCGTTCTCTTTTTTCATTTTTAAAGGATCCGTCACCGCCAAGGTATCCACAATTAGTGAATCCGGTTACCAACTCCACCGGCCTTTCTTTAAGATGACAGACGACGCGTTGTTGAAGCAAATAGAGGAGTCAACCAAGGATTTCTCCCGTCACCAGGCCGACACTCTCCGCTCCATCCTCCAGCACCAGCGCGGCGTTCATTATCTCCAACGTTACCTCCCCGACATCGGAGATCGCTATCTCCCGATTGACGCCGCCACTTTTAGATGCTCCGTGCCGTTATCTTGCTACGATGATTACGTCGATTACATCAATCAATTAGCCAACGGAGACAACTACAGTGATGATCACGATCCTCCCCACATCTTGTCCGTCGACCGTCTCGTTTGCTTCTTTTACAGGTGAATATTCTGCTCCACTTATTTCTTTTAAAACTCGATTAAATTTTTTTAAATTTATTTGACTTTTTAATCTTCTTTGTTTTGGGTAGTTCTGGAACAACTTCAATGAAGCCTAAATTGATACCTTACTTCGATTCAGCGCTTTCAAAGGCGGCGTCGTATATAGCTCATCAAGGAAGCGCTGTTGTTCTTCGTAGGTAAAATTTGTATTCCCTTGTTAAATAAGTGAAAAGAAATGACCTTTACTCAAGTAAGTTATGAATTATGATTTGATCTTCTTTTCAATTCAAAGACAATGATAAACTTTTTTTCTCCAATTTTTAGGTTTTTTCCTCCAAGGCCTGAAGTGAACCAGAGACTGGCATTTATATATGCCGATAGCATTACAACTACTAAAGGCGGCTTCAAGGTAATGGCTGCTTCTTCGTTCCCATTCCACAATAGTAGTAATGCGAACTATTCTCTGTTTATGTCTTTCGCTAGCCCCATGGAAGTGATTCTTGGATCAAATGTTGAGCACCAATTGTACTGTCACCTTCTCTGTGGTCTTAGAAATTCTGATTCTATAGATGCTATTCATGCCCCATATGCATTAGGTTTGATTAGAGCTTTCAGGGCATTGGAATCCAAGTGGGAGCAACTATGTAATGATATCGAAAAAGGGTTTCCGTGTTCAGAGATTAATGATGTCCGAATGAGAGATTCTGTTGTTGAGGTTCTCAGTGGACCACAACCATATTTATCGAATAGAATTCGATTGATTTTTGAAAAGAAGGATTGGGGTGGGATTTTGCATAAATTATGGCCAAATGTTCGATATATTAGATGTGTCACAACCGGGAGTATGAAGCAGTATTATTCCAAACTAAAGCACTTTGCAGGAGAGGTACCTCTGGTAGGTGGGGATTACTTTTCATCAGAATGCCCCGTGGCCATTAACTTGGATATCAAGCAACCACCAGATCAGACTAGATTTGTTATGCTTCCCACCACCGGATATTTTGAGTTCCTTCCATTTAATTCAACCGAGAACGAAGTTGTCATTGGTGAAGAAACTGTGTATGTTTGTGGTGTTGAGGTAGGGAAGATGTACGAAGTAGTAGTGACTACATATAGAGGATTTTATAGATATCGTCTTGGTGACATTGTAAGAGTTGTTGGTTTCTATAACACATCTCCATTGCTGGAGTTTGTGATGCGTGCTCCCAAAACTTCATTCGAGATAGTGACCGAGGGAGATTTGATGGCTGCCATGGAGAGTTTTCAACTTGTGATAAGAAATACCATGGGCTTGGCAATAGAGATAGTGGACTTTACGAGTTCCATTGACTTCGATTGCAGTCCTAAGAGACTGAAGATCTTTATTGAAGCTCAAGACTGTGATACGATTTTGCAGGAAAAGTTGCGGGGATCAGACCTTAGAAAATGTTGTTCTGCTGTCGAAGATGGTTTGGGAAGTATCTATAAGGTGCAGAGGAACAATGGTGAGATAAGCCCTTTGTCACTATCAATTTTGAATTGTGGTAGCTTTGACAGGTTACTAAAGCTAGCAATAGAGAATGGAACTCCAGCTAGTCAATATAAGTCACCTAAGATTATAAGAAACCCTAGCATTGTTGATGTTTTGGAGGAATATGTTCTTGTGAATATAACCTTAGATTAAGACCTCTATGTGCTTAGTGGCTTTCAGCCTTTTGATCCTTAATGGAATACCCGGAAAGTTTTTGTTATTTTATTATGAGCATGAAATGTCATACAAACTATAAATGGAAAACATGTGTAGTCTATGGTCATATTTCTAATATAATATTGAAAATTTATGGTGCTCATTAAATGCAATTTTTGTCTAATATCGTTTATAAACACTCGTTAATTGGTTGAATCAGCTGATTTGATTTTAAAAAATAGATATGTAAAAATACTGTAGATATCAAGCTGATGACCCCCGCGAACAAATACAAGAGAATTTTGGTGAAAGAAAAGAACTTGATATATAATCCTGACCTTTAGTATCTATTTATAGAGATAGATTTGATTACAAAGGAAAACTAAATAAAGTAAAAATCTATATTAATAAAGTTTTTTACTTTTGATTAAACTGTGTTTCCTACTTTTCCAATATTTATATATTAATTAATTTGTGACTCTCTAAATTCGAGTTAAACTCTAACACCCATTATGCTGTGTTGTGCTCAAGAAGCAAAGTCTAAACCGATCAGGGAACACCATTGCAGAGCTTAATGACCCTATTATGTTCTGTTGTGCTTATGAGAAACTTCTATTGAAGGGCCTGTGCTTGTCCCTTACTTTTTTATCAGCAGAATGATGATTACTTTCGTAACTAAAGATCTGATAGCCACCAAAACTGGAGACCTGACCCGAGCCGTTACCTGTCATCAATAAGAGCAACCAGCACAATTGACTGTTCAGGGATCTAGGGAACCTGAACGTCTGTTTCCAACATTTTCACTACCTGATCCATAGATGGCCAGCATTGTAACTCTGGATGAGAACAAAGAAGTGCTATCAAAACGTATTTCTCCAGAACTTTTGGTGGCCCTGACTCCGGCATGCCGTCTTCGATAACATCCAAAGCTTTATCATTCTTCACCAACGACCATGCCCAATCTGCCACTACAGAATGCCGGTTCTCATCACTCACAGTGAGCGCCTACTTTCCTCTCAACAGCTCAAGAAGCACTACACCAAAGCTATACACATCGCTCCCATCAGTCAAATGACCATACAAAGCGTACTCAGGGGCAACATATCCCATTGTTCCGGCTACCTTTGTAATACCCTAAAAATTTAGGCAATGACCAAAATGAAAATTTTGAAAGTTTGATGGTCAAAGTAGAAAATTGGGAAAAAGTTTAGGAAATTAAGTGATAAATTTCCTAAAAAGAATTTTATTTCATAAATAGATGGTTTACTCTTGAGAGTAAGGTTTTATAGAAATCATATGTTTGGATTTAGAATTTTAGTAAAGAAAAATTAAAAAGGGTTAAAGCCGATAAGGAATCGGTAATTTCAGATCGAATTGGAACTTTACAAAAATTTGAAGGATGTTATAAAATGGTTGGAAATATTATTTCAATATTTTTTATCAGAGAAATTTGGTTTGGAAATGTGTATCTTTTCAGATTTAACGAAACAGAGGAATTTAGTGACTAAAACATAATTTTTGAAAATTTATGGGCAATTTCGTGAGTCAAAGTCAAAATAATTCATCTTTGACTTTGAAAATGATAAGGATGAGTTGTCATGGTTTTATGGTGAATATGGAGATTCATTAATGGCAAAAATGGAATTTTCTATTGATTTGAATAAAAAATTCCATTATACTATATTAAGCCATGTGCTAGAATTATTTAATATTAGAGTATCAATGATGGGGGAGCATTTTCAGCTCATCTTCTTCTCCAAGATACCGTGGGTGTTCTTCATAGGTGAGAGAAAACTTCAACTCAATTTTCAAGTAATTTACTTAGGATTTTAAGTAAGTTGTAAAAAGGAAATTGTTATATGCAAAAAAGGCTATCTTTTGGTATCAATATTGTATGATAATCTTGTTGGTGTTCAAAGATCCCAAATCTAAAGGTTTGTGTTCATATAAGGGATCACGAAATTGATGATCGATCTTGATGTTTGTGAGGTAGTAGATTCATATTCAAGCATGTGTAATGATTAGAACATGTTTAATATTTCTAGAACTTGTTCTTTAAGTTTTGGCCATGGATTGTATGAGTGACAAAAATTATGGAAAAATTATATATGGGTTGGAAATGATTAAGGAAATATTTTACAAGTCTTAGAAAAATTGGGGACCATATCATAAATTTTGAAAAGTTGGGAGATCAATTCGTAAATTTTGGAAAATTGATGGGTTGTTGTGTAAGTGTTGTATAATTGATGTACTTTGCTGGAAGATGCTGTTTTGGAATTGTAATGAGTGTTAGAATGTGAAATATGATTATTTTGGAAGTTTGAAAAGATTAGTGATTTAAGTACAACAATTGTATAGTTGGTATACTTAAATGTAATTATGTTTTTGTAAAAGCATTTGAATTGGAATATATTTTAATGTTGGAATTATTGGTATTAAGAATCTAAGTGATAAAATGGTGGAGGACTATTTTGTGTAAATTGGAAAAGTTGGTTCCAATGTTAAAAATGAATTATTAAGTATTGAGTATTTTGATAGAAAATGAGTTTCAAGTATGATTATGGAATTTATTTTGGAAATGTATTTATGTTTGTACAATACTAACATATATATATGGATATGAATCTATATTTTGTACAGATCGTGATTTACTCGGTGTTCAAAACGATTCGAGTATAAAAGAAAAGAGTTATTGTGGACATTAGTGAGGCTCATATTTTGGAAAATTATAAAGTGTCAAGGTGAGTGCAATACATGAATGAAATTATACATGGATGTTTTATACATCATCAGGAAGACTTGTGATAAGTCGACTTTGTTTATATCAGCATGATAATATGTCTTATTTTTTATAAATTGACATGACATTGATATGTCACAGTATGAAATTATAATGCATTGATTATGGAAAATGTGATATTTTATCCTGAATGTTATTTTGGGTATGAACTGTGCCATTGTTAAATTACGATAATATACTTTGTCATGGATGGATCAAATAAAATTGACCATATGCCCAAATATGTTATTGAGGTTCAGTGATATTAATGGCATGCCATAGAGTCTAGCAGCTGCATATTAGGTAGCACTAGAGTGTCTAGAGAAGGCACATAGTGCAGGCCTCAAAGTGTCTAGTGAAGACACGGTACAAAACACTACAGTGTACTAGGTGGGTAAATCCCGACCTCAGCACTACGGTGCATTATTAGGTGAGCAAAACTCGATCTCAGCACTTCGGTGCAATATTTGACTTCTATACCGAGTTCCTCATACAGTTATACTATGGGCTATGATTTATGGTATATTGGTAAAATAAGCTTACGAGCTTATGGGATTAAATGGTAAGTATATTGGTAAAATAAGCTTACGAACTTATGGTAATAAATGGTAAGTATATTGGTAAAATAAGCTTACGAGCTTATGGGATTAAATGGTAAGTATATTGGTAAAATAAGCTTACGAACTTATGGTAATAAATGGTAAGTATATTGGTAAAATAAGCTTACGAGCTTATGGATTAAGGGTGCGTTTGGTTCACGAAATGTAAGATTACCAGTGGGAATAAAAGATTACCAGGGAATAGGATTACTGGAATGTTGTATTTTGTGTTTGGTTGGTTTAGCAGGAATGTAAGATTACCGTGTTTGGTTAAAGGAATAAAAGATTATTGGAATTTATATTTGACCAAATTGTCCTTATTATATATTTGTATAATATTACAAATTGTAAAATATTTATATATTTTCTTTAAAAAATTAAATTCATAATATTTATATAATTTTTTTTACAAAATTAAAAATATAAAAAAGGTTTAATGAAAGGGTAAAAAAAATTTAACCCCTGAACTTCATATAAAATTTTAATTATAGATTTTTTTTTGCAAATCTAAAATAATTTAAGGATAAATTTGTAATTTAACATTCGTAGAATTTTTATTATTCAATGACAGAAGAATGATATTTTTGAAAAAAAATAAAAATTTAAGGGCATTTTAGTCCAAAATGCTGATAATGTTACAATACCTAAGGGAATGGAGGTAATGACATTCCCGGTAATATACCCAAAAAAATCTACTATTGGTAATAAAATATTACCGGGAATGAGATTCTCGGCCAACCAAACATGGGAATGTGGGATTCCCATCCCATGGGAATCCCACAATTCTTGAACCAAACACCCCCTAAATGGTAAATATATTGGTAAAATAAGCTTACGAGCTTATGGTAATAAATGGTAAGTATATTGGTAAAATAAGCTTACGAGCTTATGGGATAAATGGTAAGATATTTTATCTTATTGTGATCATGGAAAAATATTGGATATGTTGGTAACATGATCTTATGACATTTTGAGTTTGACATTGAAATTCATGCATGAATTGTATTGCACTGTTTACTGTTTTAAATCGCCTCACTAAGCATATGCTTAGCGTGTGATGATTTTCACGTATAGGTAAAAAGCCAGTAGTGGAATAAAGAGTTCAAGCGACTTAAAGCATCGAGGCGTATATTTCAATATCAGTAAGACATCTTATGATGGAATTTGACTTAGATAGTGGCATGTAATTTGATAATGTTTAATTTATTTTGTTAAATTAATTTGGAAACAAATTGGTAAATTGATAGTGATGAAAGGTTAATTTTTATAAGTTTTATATGAAATTTTCGGAAGTTACTCTAGCAGCGAATAGTAATGAATAGTAACCATGTTTTAAGAAAATTTCTAGATTGCTTAAGGGGTACCGATTCTCCTGCTACAGCAACTGATTCCCTCATTGTTCATAAAAAAATCTTTTGAATTAAATTTGTTATAACGAAACATGATTTTTATGATATGATATTTTTATAAAATCATTTACCATTTTAAGAAAATAAATTTTAAATCACTTTTGAAATTGGAAATGGTTTAAGAAATTCGGATAACATCTATAATCTGTATAAGTATAATTATACGGGTTATGGGTGTTACAACCTTAGTCTCAAATGTGTCCTCCCTTCCTGTGTAAACTTGGCAAGTCCAAAATCTGCTACCTTGGCCTCAAATATGTCATCCAAAAGTATATTACAT